TTACTGCAGTGAGCAATCAGCAGCAGCAGCAGCAGCTCCAACCAACAGACAAACACAGCGCGAGCGCACGAGTGTGTCCATTGACCATACGCGGCCCATTAAGCAGCAATCAACCTTCCCTGTCCTATTTAGTATTCCTGAAGGATTCCAGCTACAAAGCACAGGCATGAATATAATAAGTGTGGCCGAGGATGCAAACGAGCTGCAGTGCAAAATGGAAGATGGCATGAAGACATTTAATATAGACACCCTTCCCATATGGGCAGATCAACAGCTGTATATTCTAGGCTTGAGATGATGCATGTTTCATCCCACATGGTAATACAGTTGATGGGTGTAGTTTGGTAGAAAGAAAGTAGTTCTTACATGACACTGCTCATAACAAGATCTGTTGATCATCTTGCGTAACCAGGTCATGATTTCTGGAAAGAGACATTACTGTTGTGTTTATAGTGCCATCTCGTTCCATTCCAGTGAAGAGAATGCAGACATCTTTAGTTTCCACCGAGCAGTACGGTTCAGTTCAGTTTGGTAGGCTTTTTCTTTTGTTTCCACTGTGAAAAGTTGTGGATGGTACCAATGGAACCGTTCTGTACCATCTTCATTTTTGGTCACCCCTATGTTGGGGTACCTAGCACACAGATCTGGTACTAAAAGGTGGAGCTGCGGACACTGCAGTCTGTTGATTGGTCAACAGCAGATGGTTGCTCTGCTCAGGGCTGAGCTGTGGCTGGTATCGTGACCACTGCTCATACTGTGGTGAGTTTTGAGTTGACGATGTGAATCAGTCAACACAACTTAAATTTCAATGTGACAACTTTGACCATTACTTAATTTTTTTTGTCTCTCTTGGATGAAAACACTTTCAGTAATGAGTGGATATTCAAGCTTTTAAAAATATACATTCATTTTGACCGGATTATGGGAACTGTGTATATTCTAATCCTCCCTTGGAGAAAAAAAAGCGTTGTGGATCATTGTTCCTGTGGGCTCCAGCAACACTAAACCCTTGCTCTTGCCTGAGAAGGACTAAACACACAAACCCACTATTTTTAAATATCCAATCAAGAGAGACTCTCACTGCAGCTTGTTCTAATGTGTTCTGACAATGTTGGCGTGCAACCCCGTTCTGTGGACGATAAACGAGGTGAAGACTGATGACGAAGGACATACCGTGAGTGCCGGACAGGGAGTGACAACAACCCCGCCCACATGAAAGAGTAATGTTTGCGGTGGAAACCCTAGGGTCTAGGTACCATGTCTGAAGGGTTACTTTTGATTTTCAAAGGTACCAGACTGAAAGTGTTTGATGGAAATGGGGCTTCTATGGCTGATATATCCAACATTCAGCAACCTACACCAAAAGAATTAGGCTGGTAGCTAGCACTACAGGTGATAGGGGAAATACATATTTTTGAACTGTCCCTTTAAGTATTGCTCTTTCACAAATTTGGGAGAATCACAAACTGCAGACACATCTTGACTTTTAATCCTTAGTATGTGTCAGGCTCCAAAAACTTGCAATATTACATTTCCCATGACGCAACTCAACACGGTCTTAACATAATGCCAAATGGCTGATGTAATTTATCCTCTTATCCTTGAATCTTTATCCATCCATTTTCAGCACAATGTTGTAAATAAATGTTGATAAACCAGCAGCCACAATAAGTTGAGTCGGAACTCCTTATGCTTGCAGGCAGTTTAATATGATGTACCCTCTTAGCAAAAGGTCCAGGTAAAATACACTGTGTTGATAAGCTCAAACAAATAGGAAATGGTTGACTGGTGTAACAAATGTAATGTGCACAAAACTCCCAAAACTGAATGCGCCTGTCAAGATATCATCTATGTTGACTTTTTCTAATCTGTCTCTCTCTGCTGTCACACTGTTAAAATGGCACATGCTTTTCTCCCAGCCGTTGCTGTTTGGCTCGTACGCCATCACTGTTTGCACCCAAACTCAGTTAATCAATTAAAGTTTTCCCAGACAGACACCAAATGACCACATGTGACACTGGCTGATAACCGAGGAGACCTCTTGCATCAACGTCACTGTCAGATGCACAAAAATCTAAATCGAATCACGGATCATTTGGTACCAACTGAGCCTAAACATCTATTTTGCAAATTTGTTGGCCTGTCATGATAATAGCTGCGTCAACATATTCATATTTGGCTGATCGAACAGCGTGTGCTCTGTCATCCGCTGCCATAATGTTCTTTCACATCTCTCCTGTGCAGTCCCGGAGAATTTAAAAAATGCTAGAGCAAATGAACTACATGTGATAGTGGCTGAAAATAAATGATATTTTTCAGGTCACTGACATAAGCATTCCACCCAAATGCCAATGCAGATATTTAGAGATTTAATAGAAACAACAAAAAAGAACTAATGCAGCTTTAAATCACAAAAATAAAGACCTGATATACTGAGACATGACTCCCCGAAGACTGGACCCAAGCTGAAACTTGACAACAGAAGAATAAAGGAAGGTCTGAGTGCTAAAATGTGGGTACTGACAAAGATTACTGTCACTGACAACTACAAAGCACAGTTTATATTAATCTCCAGATCTGCAGAAGATTTTCGTACTCACTTTCAGCTCAGTGATCAGTGAGATGGTGACATTCACAAGTGCACAGTAAGAAATGTTAATGTAGAGACGTGGCTGAAAATGTTACAGGAAGTCAGCCTTCCTTTTATTTAATGTTTTTACTCAACATTGGAAAAGAAATCCAACAGACAGCCCACCATATAAGAACCTGACATCCTATTAAGCTAATGTGGGAGTTCATGCAGAATCCTGGCACAGATACTGTAAGCAAGAACAGCAGCTAATAGCTGGTATGATATTGCAATTATCAAGTTGGCATTCTCCGGCTCTCCAATCATTTGCAATGTAACAGTGAGCAATGGCTCAGAGAGGTAATAATCATTTCAACAATTGCACTGAAAAATGTTTTGAAATAATGACAGTGCACATGTCACAGTGAGCTGGCAACAGCTGGTGAGTGGGTGGGTGCCTGAGATCAGGGGTAGAAATCTACAGGGAAGATTGTTTAAATGTTGGGTGAGATTTACAGACATGTATCCGTCTTTTTATGATGAAAGTAAGAAGCTGTAAACAACAAATTTAATACTTGAAAGCACCTATAACAGGTTGGAGCATCTGTTGTCTCATTGTATTGAACAGCACCTGTTAGCCAGTTAGATGACTCTGTGCAGTGTGTGTTCCTGAATGATGAATATTTATGTATCTGCCTATTTAAAACTAGATACTTTCAGAGCACACTCAGGGACAGAATGTAAATTGTTCCTATGTTTGACATTGAATGCAGCATCCCCAACTCAGTTACTGGCAGGAATATTGCTGTTGCAACAATGCTGTGGTTAACGTGTGGTTAACGTGTGGTTGGGTTTAGGCACAAAAACTACTTGGTTTTGTTCAGGAAAAGATGATGTTTTGGCTCAAAATACTTCATTTGGGGGACATAATCCCAGCAGAAAAAGCATCAGTAACAAAGGGACAACTTCCCTGCTATCCCCGCTGACTGGTTGCTACAAAACACCCACATTTGGAGCCTAAAAGCCAATGGAAACACATCAACAGGTTGCTAAAAAACACACACGTTTGGAGACAAAAAAGCAGATGGAAACACACAAACAGGTTGCTACAAACCACTCAAGATTGGAGCCATAAAGCCAATGTAAAAAAAACCCGAAAGTTGCTAAAAAAAACACCAAAATGCAAAGCCTAAAAGCTGATAGAAAGACACAGATAGGTCACTACCAAACACCCAAATTTGGAGCCTGAAAAGCTGATGGACACACACCAACAGGTTGCTAAGAAACACCAAAGTTCAAAGCCTAAAAGCTGGTTGCTACAAAACACACGGTTTTGGCAACTAAAAGCTGATGAAAAAACACTATGGGTCAATACAAAACACCACATTTGGAGCCTGAAAAGCTGATGGAAACACACCAACAGGTTGCTACAAAACACTCAAGATTGAAGCCTAAAAGCCAATGTAAATAACACCAGTGGTTGCTAAAAAACAGAAGTTTGAAGCCTAAAAGCTGATAGAAAGACAGTGACAGGTCGCTACAAAACACCCAGTTTTGGTAACTACAAGCTGATGGAAAAACACTTACAGGTTACTACAAAACACCCAAGTTTGAAGCCTAAAAAGCAAACGGAAACACACCAACAGGTTGCTACAAAACAGTTAAGACTGGAACCTAAGTAGAAACTTAAAAGCTGACAGTAAGACTCCAATAGGCCGCTACAAAACACCCAAATTTGGCGCCTGACAAGCCAGTGGAAACACACCCGTAGGTTGCCACAAAACACTCAAGATTGGAGCCTAAAAGCCAATGTAAGGAAACACCGCTGGCTGCTAAAAGACTCCAAAGTTTGGAGCCTAAAAGCTGATAGAAAGACACTGACAGGTTGCTACAAAACACCCAAATTTGGCGCCTGACAAGCCAATGGAAACACACCCATAAGTTGCTACAAAACATTCAAGATTGGAGCCTAAAAGCCAATGTAAAAAAAAACCCATCAACGGTTGCTAAAAAACACCAAAGTGTGGCGCCTTAAAGCTGATTGAAAGACACTGACAGGTTTCTACAAAACAACTGGTTTTGTTACCTAAAAGCCGATGGAAAAACACTCATGGGTTGTGACAAAACACCCAAGTTTGGAGCCTAAAAAGGTGATGGAAACACAGCGAAGACTTGCTAAAAAAACGATTAGTTGGCAGGTAACTGGCAGGTGTCTCGCCTGGGTGACACGCCATCCAAAGTCCCCTCCCCCTCCAGCTGAAAAAGTCAGCTCATATATTCCGTAGAAATGTTGATATGTCATGTATAAAACATGCAAATTTATTTGTGGTTTGCAGACTTGTACAATGCCAACATTTTCCTCTGGCAACTGTCCTTGCCTCCCTTACATTTCAGCAAAGGCAGGTGTGCTTTGTGGGTACTCAAAACTCACCGTAGAGGATGTTGATGAGGGAGATCGGCATGACCAGGATGCCTACAAGCATGTCCGCCACGGCCAGCGACCTCAGGAAGAAGTTGGTGGCGTTCTGAAGCTTCTTCTCCAGCGACACTGCCAGGATCACTAGGATGTTGCCACCGATCGTCAGCGCGATGATGACGAGTATGAGCAGTGCCGGCCAGTTCTTCTCTTTCATCACCGTCCTGGTGACAGACTCCTGGGTGAAATTATCCAGACCTGCACTCATGGCTGCCGCACCTCCACCGCTGCCTCCAAGCCCTAACCCCCATGACAGGGTTTGGTTGAGGTCCAGGGGGTTAATGCTTGGCCAAGCCATCTGACCTCCAACCTCCAGGGAGGAGGTGGTGGTGCTGAACCCACCAAGAAGAGCCCTCGCTGGGCCGCCCATCCCAAACAGAGACCCTTACTCTATTGGAGGCTGGTTTTAATTCACCTTCTTCACCAGCAGAGGGAAGAAGGAGGTGGTGAGACAGATGCGCTCAGCATTGACTTCTTTAAAGAGTTCTGAAGCATCTACCAAAATTGACTTCTTAATACCAACAGAACACCATTAACAAGGATCTGGGGGAAGTGAAAAAACAGGAAAGAAGCAACTTTGGGGATGGGGAGTGACAGGGAAGAGGGGAGAGGGGATTGAGAGGACCTAGCTACAAGTGTTCTTCAGTTTATATCGTATTTCAATAGTCTTGCTAGCTGCAAACAGCCTCCAATTGTTCCCTGAGGTTTGAATGTCCCATGTCTTGCCAATAAGTCATTGGCGACAAGTTCTCAAGGTGTATGTTGAGTCGAAAAGTCCCTTGTTGCTTCGTGGTGTTCAGTCACATCCACCTCTTGATGGAAGTAAGAGTTTCAGAGTATCAAATTTAGAGCTGAAAATCGGTTTAGTCATATCCATGGCTGCTGTCTGCTCCCGCTGCCAGTTAGTTTGCTGACGAGTATTGACCAGTTTCAATGTCTTCATTCAGCTGTGAATCCTTCTGCTGTTGTATCCAAGGTGTTGCAAGTTTCTTCCTTCAGGTCAGAGTAGATGATCAGGTTGATCTGTGGAGGGAACAGAAATAAAAGAGATCAGATCATTGCTTTTGAACTTCCTGATTGCACCATTTGTATCCACCTAGCCATTCATTATCGGTTTTCACCCACAGTGGTCACTACAGGGGACAGTTACTTAAAAGCCATGTACACCGATAAGCCAAAACATTAAAACCACTGACAGGTGACGTGAACAACATTGATCATCTTGTTACAATGCAATGTTCTGTTGGGAAACTTTGGGTTCTGACATTCATGTGGATGCCACCTGACATGCTCCCCGCCCTAAACAGCAGTGCAGACCAGGTACCCCCTCATGGCAACGACACTCCCCAGTAGCAGTGGCCCTCCAGCAGGACAATGTGCCATGCCCAAAAACTGCTCAGGAGTGACATAAGGAATGTGACGAAGAGCTCAAGGCAACAACCTGTTCTCCAAATCCCCCAAATCTGATCAAACATCTGTGGGGCATGCTGTTACCTAACCTCACAACCCTTAGGACCCAAAAGATCTGAAGCCAATGCATTAGTGCCAGACACTATGAGACACCCTCCAGAGGTCCTGTGTCCATGCCTTGACAGGTCAGAGCCAAGTCCGGTCCAAGAAGGACCCACTATGGATCAGGGGTACCTCTGGGGTACTAGCACATCCCTCAAATGTTTGATCAGATTGAGATCTGGGGTATTTGGAGGCCAGGTCAACACCTTGAGCTCTTTGTCCCATTCCTCAGGTCATTCCTGAGCAGCTTTTGTGGCGTGGCACGATGCACTGTCCTGCTGGGCCACTGCCATTGACAAGTGCTGTTGCCATGAGGGGGTTTATTTAGTCTGCAATGTCAAGTAGCATCCACACAAATGCCACCACTCAAGGTTTCCCAGCAGAACATTGCATTGTAACAAGATGATCAATGTTATTCACTTCACCCGCCAGTGGTTTTAATGTTTTGGCTGATTGGTGTATATGCATGGGTTTTCATGCTATAGTTGCACGTAAGCAACTACAGTGTATCCAAGTGCCATACACTGCCACCCACTGGCCAGGTATTGTAAGTGCAACACAAATCTCTGAAAACCAAGATGGCCAATGAAATGCAAGACATGTTGTGCAGCTAAGGTAATTTATCACCAATCCTACTATAATAGGAGACCCTTGCAGGTAAATGAAATTTGTAAACATCAAGTAACATCTAAGAAGAAATACAGTTGTTAAAATGTCCAAGTATTGATTTTATGTTGGTAAGAAATTACAATTAGTCTACTGAAGTATACATCGTGCAGCACTGGCTATATTTCAGCTACAACTTTAACGCATGCTGTCCACCTGAATGGATGCGTAAAAAAACTCCTTGAAAAAGGCATGTTTGTAAAAAAAAAAAAAAAAAGAACTTCAAATTTTTGTTTTTCATGCCTCAAGAGGAAAAAACTCTTCGGAAATAATCTTGACTGGGGTAGTTATAACTCTGTGCATGAATCTCTTGCATCCTCCCTACTATCTCAACATCTGTCGGTCCATCTTCTGATGAATGAACTCATCATTCCAACATCCCTTCTTTCCTTCTGTTTAGTTTCCTTTGTTGTTTCAAGTGATTCCTTCCTTCTTCACCCTTACTTTATTACTTCTTTGGATCCCTACTCCAATTTTATTGCATTTTTCCATCGCTCTCCTTCATTCCTTCTCCCTAACCTCCCTATCATGCGTCTTGCCTTCCATCTCTCCTTATATTTCTTCCTCCACCATCATCCATCCATCAGTGCAACCACTTCGTCTTTTGCTTCTTTGTTTCTTCCTTCCTCACAGCGATCCTCCCTTTTACTAGACTAATTTATGAGTGTCTGCACTCCCAATAAAAGTTAGGCAGAGAGAAAGACTGTCGGTGTCAAACACTACAGTCATTTAAAACAAACCGAAGGAGATAAACTGAAACGGAAGCTTTGATGTTCACACCCTCACATCGCAGTGTGCGCGCAGAAGTACTGGCTGTCCTCTCTGTTTACCCTTAGCTCTCAGACAGCTTAGTGATTTAGCACCTCATAACCGTCTTCAAGGAGATGTGGAGGAGTCGGAGTGTACTGCATGTGCGTGTGTGTGTGAGAGGAAGAAAGTGTGTGTGTGCACATATGTCTTTGCATGTATGAAACAGTAAGACAGAGTGTGAACTACTGAGATGTTTTTTAGAATGTGTGGGCACATGTTTAAGAATGAAAAGTGAATGTGTTTCCATCTCCTCTGTGTCCGTGTGTGTGTGTGTGTGTGTGTGTGTGTGTGTGTGAGTGTGGTTTGAGATAAAAAGCCAGCACATCTCCAGACGGACTCAGGCCTCCAGCTGAGATAGTTTAGTGGGCGGTGAGTCTACGATAAAATCAAGCGGCATACAAAAGACACTCTGAGTGTGTGTGTGTGTACATATTTTACTCGGTGCTATAAGCACAACAATGAAAGCCCTGCTCTGCATTTTTTTGGGGCTGTGTGGGCATGTTAACGTTTGTATTGTTTAATGTGAATCTATTGTATCTCATTGTGGGTTCCTGCTTTTGTTTGTGTGAATGACCGTGTGTGCATAAATTCACTGTCGAGGTGGGATTGTGTGCAAATACAATAAGTTATGCCAATTATTCGTGTGTGTGTGGGCAGATATGTTGGTAGTCCTCATACCTAAAGGACAACATAAAACACGCAGCTTCTCCCAAAACGACCCATGTGACCTCTACAAAAATGATTCAACATGACTGTTTTCTGATGTGGAACCTCGATTGAAGGAACAGGTTGGCATGTTGGGAGAAATTCACAACATCTGTCATGGCAAGACTTTAGGAAGTCACTGTGGCCAGCTGTTGTTTGTCAAGAACTAGTACAGCACGTACCGTGGCTGCCAGCAGTTCATCCTGTTCTTTTATTGTTCTTTACTTATTTATATTAAAAACAGTGTCCGTTGGATGGATGGGAGACTTTTCTTGCATTTAGATGGAACAGTAAAACAACAATAGTGTTCCTCTGCCATCTGCTCATTTATTACCACAAGACACGTCTTCACAGGTGCATGGAAGCCACGTCGGACGACAACAGAAACCCATACGAGTTCCAGCTTCTCTTTTAGGCAATTAAACAAAATTAAATGTAAAATTTTATTTCATTCAAATTGTTAGTTTCCAAAAAAAATTCAAGCAAGTCAAATAATTTCCAAAAAAAGAAACTTTCTGCTAGAAAAATAACACATACCCCCTTGTAAAGCAACGCATTTTGACTTGGGATAGACCGTATATATCAGGCTGATAATGGGGCATTTTTATAATTATGCATTATTCCAATAATTAAAGTTACAGCCAATAAATAGTGCCAATATTACGAAGCCAGACTGCTTTTGTGGACTTAACAAGGGCAGCATCTACACAGCCGACACAGTGGGTGGCGATACATGTACCTTTAAACTTGGTTTGAGAGCTGCCAATAAACACAGAGAAGAACAACAACAACTGCAGCACGCCGTCTAGAGGGCAAAACATGTCATGGGGTGGACGTCTTTCACAGTTCCAGAGGAAGACAACAGGATTGCGTCAAGGGTCTGATCTCCGACTGCCTGACACAGGTTAGACACAGTGCTGAAGGACCATCTCCAGAGTGTTAGCATGAGCTAATTAGCAACAGCAGCTAACATCCAACACCAAGCTTGTCTATTGTGGGACAGTGCGACGGTGCCTGGGTGTGTTTATAAAAATGCAGCGTGACAATATAAACATTTCAAACACCAGATGTAACGTGGACCTGCTGATATTCATATGAGTCAGCTGTCAGTGTTTGTCTCTGTTGGGAGAGACTCCACTCTGCAGTGTAGTTTATACACTTTACTGATACACCAGAGAATTACTCAGTAACACTGGGCTTCATCATCTCCCTCTCTCTTACCCTTAACTATGAATTTAACACTGATTAAAAGTCATTCTTCTTTCACATCCTTATTTTATTTTATTATTATCTGTAGTGAAAGGTTATATGGGAGCAAGGGCGTTGAGGGTAAGCCTTTGACGATAGTCTCTTTTCCACAGCCAAATGTTGGCAGGTATGAAGAGTCAGAACTGTTGTTTGTTTTTGTTGTGTTAGCAATAGTGTTCCTGGTTTCAGTTCATTTGGTTAGGGCTGTTCTGATATAGTTTTGTTGTTGTTAAACACAGTCCCTGTTTACCTCAGTTCTTAAAGAATGTTGGCCTTTTTTGGATTGTTCGTTCACTGTGAAGTCATGCTAGAAAACTTCTAGGCAACATGAGTGCGTAGTAGGGCTGCCCCCGACTAAGACTTTTTCTAGTCAACCAGCAGTCATCATTTAGGGCCATTAGTCGACTAGTCGCCTGTATGTTTACGATATCAATTTAATCATTAAATGATATATTTTGTGCGGGGCAACACAATGGTTTGAGTTGAAGGTGTGAGAAAGAACAGTATCAGTAACATTGTTAACACTGTGCTACATTACAGAGAAATACAAACCGTACTAATGAACCTTCATTAATATAGGCCTATATTTTATCTACAAGTGCACGTCACACATTGAGCGACCTGTTAATGACGCTGTGGGCAAAGCAGTAATGATTGTGCTAAGTGGCTAATGGGCATGTAGCTACTTCCATGTTTCAGATGATACGTCATGTTTGTAGTTGACCAATGAAGATGAGTTTACATATCACCTTGGGTTCGTCCTTCACCTTCTCAAAATGATCCCACACTTTGGATTTCCTGCCCGACATGTTATTAACTAGCCTGTGGAATAACCGCAGGTACCAGCCCTGGAAATTAACCTGACTCCTGTCTGACTGCTGAGCGTGGACACTTCCTGTGTCTGTCCTTTCAAATTAAATTCCCACATGGTACAGTCACATAGGTTTTGATTTATTTTGACAAGGGGCAGCTCCTAATAGAATTTCAGGTTGTTGTTTTTTTGGTTTTCTTTTTCTGTGATTAAGTGACCAATGAAATCCTGCCGACTAATGACCTTTCTGGTCGGCGAAAGTTTGGTCGACTATTAGGGGGCAGCCCTAGTGTGAACAAATGGCAGCTTCGTGGGTGAAGTATTCTTACTCATCCTTTTTAATCATTTATTTAATCAATCATTTTATTCTGCCACAGCTTCTCACTGGGCTTGATCTCAGTCCAGTCAAATGAACCTTTTTTTAAAACAGGAAACTCAGAGTACAGTCAACGTCTATATCTTCAGACGATTAAAACAAGGCTGCAAACCCCGCTCTCTGTCAGGCTTTATTGATTATTTGTCTTGGCTGCATCTACACTAGACAAAAACAAGTCTTTGTGCAAGATACAGTCAATAAAACAGTAGAGTGGTTGTTTTAAAAGTTAAGCCAATAATGAGGTTGCTGTATGCATGATTCTAAATAATGGTAAACAACGTTAGAATTAGGTCTGGGGCTGGAGATCAGCAAAGCATAAAGAAACAGTGTAAACGACTTTAAATAAGAACAGGAGATGAGGAATAATGTGTGTGTATGCACGCGCAGGAATGTGTGTTTATCACCTCTGCACTGCTCGGTGTGTAATAGACAGTCTGCTTCCTATCTTCTCCTCTCAGGGAGAGTATCAGCATAGTTCACAGGAAACTAAACAGCACTGCAGGCGAGCCATTTAACCAGTCTGATAAAGCAGCGATACATCACAGACTGCGAGGGAGAGGAGGAGAGAGGAGGATGGGGGGGCGGAGAGAAAGAGAGGAGGAAGGTTAGACAAAGACAGAACTAGAGAGATAAAGGAAAAGTGATCAAGAGGAGAGGAAACAGGAAAGAAAAAAGGAGGTGTAACCCAGAATGTAAAAATCCCACGACTCCACAGGATGGCAACTTGTTATGCTCCCATTTCTTTCCCTTTTAATCACGTATTTTTAAACCTGGCATGAAAACACACAGTTGACTAGTTTCAAACCAAAGATTACACGCGGCCCGCCGAGTGTCTCCGCACGCAGCTAACCAGTCACATCATCTGTAGATTATAATTGGTGTTGCGACTGTAAAGCGCTTCTTGGAGAGAGTAACACGGATACAGCTGGAGACTCACAAAGGATCACGCAGCAGAAGCCTAGTTAAGGCACAGATGTCGCCGCGCGTCGCTTTGCTTTTCACTGTGGGGACAAATTGCTGCCGCACTTACGTTTGTTTAAGCCATTTCTGCTGTGTGAGATAAAACAGCAGAGGATGGGGATGGAGGGATTTTCTTCTTATTAAACTGTCCCACAAAGGCAAACAGCACTAACTGTTTTTTTAATGTGTGGTTTAAAGCTTAATGTTCAAGGGTTTACATTCCATATCAATACACACCACCACCTACTAACGTTGGTACATGATTAAATACCGAATCCTGTGACAGTAATACTTTGCACTGGGGCAAGAGATGATCGTTTTCTTAATTTCACTACTCACACACACGCTTGTTTTGCTTTAAACTTTAATTATGATTCCTATTACTTATTGCTTTGCCTTAGTACTTATGTTTACATTTATTTTGTAATTAAGCTGTACAATAATACCCTGTGGTACATTCAGTTTTGTTAGTCGGAACAAATCCCTTTATTTAATTAAGACTCTTGCAGCGTTAAGGTTAGTAGTAAGTGAATATCAAGGTAGAAATGTAACTCAGATTTTAAAAGTTGCCCATTCTTGCCTCGGGTTAATTGCACCTCCAACCTGCTGCTACTGTGTTGGTAACAATGTGGTGTAAAAGAAGAGTCCGATGTGAACCAAGAGACTCTTGAATGTCCGCCACAACCAGCAAGGTGACTGGCAGTAGTGCTAATCTGTTAGCATTTCACTGTCAGGCAACTATGACTAACATTCTGTGCGTACTCCAGCTTCCTCCCAAAGTCCAAAGACATGCAGGTTAACTGGTGACTATAAATTGTCCATAGGTGTGAATGTGAGTGTGAATGGTTGTCTTGGTGGTCATAGGTCAAAGGTCAACAACACTGTGACCTTGTCTGTCTCATTCTCGTGAACACAATAACATTCACTTGGGCTTAAGGATGAACTGATTAGATTTTAGGGGTCAAGGGTCGAAGGTCAAGGTCACCATGACCTTGCATCCATCTTGTTCTCATGAATACACTATTTCAAGAACAGCTTGAGGGAATTTCTTCAAATTTGGTACAAACGTTCACATGGACTCAAGCAATAAATGATTAGATTTTGGTTGTCAAAGATCAAGGTCACTGTGACCTTTTCTGTTCCATTCTTGTGAATGTAATATCTCAAGAACACTGTGAGGGAATGTCTTTAAATCTGACACAAATGTTCACTTGGATTCAAAAATGAACTGACTGGATTTTGGTGGCCAGAGGTCATAGTCAGCAAGATTTCATTGGTCCCTTAGTTACAAAGAAAAACAAAGAAAAAACAACAACATTAAACTCTATGGAGCTGCGCCTCATCAAAATAAATCAAAACCTATATGACTGGACCATGTGGGAATTTAATTTGAAAGGACAGACATAGGAAGTGTCCACGCTCAGCAGTCAGACAGGAGTCAGGTTAATTTCCAGGGCTGGTACCTGCGGTTATTCCACAGGCTAGTTAATAACATGTCGGGCAGGAAATCCAAAGTGTGGGATCATTTTGAGAAGGTGAAGGACGAACCCAAGGTGATATGTAAACTCATCTTCATTGGTCGACTACAAACATGACGTATCATCTGAAACATGGAAGTAGCTACATGCCCATTAGCCACTTAGCACAATCATTACTGCTTTGCCGACAGCGTCATTAACAGGCGGCTCGCTCAGTGTGTGACGTGCACTTGTAGATAAAATATAGGCCTATATTAATGAAGGTTCATTAGTACGGTTTTGTATTTCTCTGTAATGTAGCACAGTGTTAACAATGTTACTGATACTATTCTTTCTCACACCTTCAACTCAAACCATTGTGTTGCCCCGCCCAAAATATATCATTTAATGATTAAATTAATATCATAAACATGCAGGCGACTAGTCGACTGCTGCAAGTTTTACAATCGTTTCACATTGTTTACTCCTCCACTGATTACCTTCCTACAGTATTAGCCTTTCTAGCTATCTGCTTTTCTCTGTCTGTGTTGAGTGAGCTGCACCTTTCAGGAAGCAGCCCCTTGATAAATGTAGGGTTACAGAACAACAGGATCATAAAATCTGACTCTGGTTGCTTACTGTTTGTTTTTTCCCTCCTACTCCAAACAAAAAATGGCTGTTGCACCTGAATGAAAAGTAAAATACATCACCTCAAATGCATAAGAGGCTTTTTCCTAGAAAGAGCCAACACATAGCAGAAATTTAAAACAGAAAAAGCTGAACGAATGTGTTGAGTCACTGTTGTGGTGGAGCGAAATACTGTAGAGACACATCTTCTTCAGCCATACGGTTTAAAGGCAAGACAACAATACTGTGAGAAATGGCACAAAAAGGCTTTACGGAAAGTGCTGTGCTGTGCTGCATCGCAAGTGCAACTTTGAAGCTCCTTCGGTCAGAAATATTGAGCATGTTACACACTGTAGGTGTCACATACAAAATGTGAGTGTTTTACAAAGTGATGAAGGTGCTGAAAGAGAAACCGCTGAGGCAGAATGTAAAGATAGAGAGATAGAGGCTGAGTAAGAAACACTGTCATCCCAGTATCAGTAAATCTGGTCACTTACTTCTTCACGCCTCCCGATCAATGCGCCTGACCTTTGCAGCTGTTTTCCATTACCGGCGGCGGTGACCCTTTCCGACGTTACCTCTCTCTTTCTGCCTCTCTCTTGCCGTATCAGTCCCTCTGTCATCTGTCACTCCACACCTCCAGAGTGAGGGATCAGCATCATCCATCTGCCTACAGAGAAAGAGGGAGGGAGAGAGAAAAAGAGACTTTTGATGCTCTTTTGTGAAACATTTCAGATCAAAACTGAGGTTAAAAGTGACTGAAAGCCTCCTGTAGCCACAGTGGCTCCTACACACACCCACACACCAGGAACAACAACAACAACACAACTGAATGTGTCATTAATCTTTAGTCCTTTCATCCAACACAAGCAACACAACAACACAAACCCCCGCCACATCATATGGTTGGATTAGGTAAATTATCCCTGTTTGTAGCAGCAAGAAAAGGACACAGCAAGAAAAACTGAATTGAGCTCATTATGTGGAATATATAAATGACAAATATGGTGAGAAGTGTTGAATCGTTAAAATCGGAGCTCATAATTTTCTACAAGTTTGCTGGATATCAATAATAGGGAAAATATCAATGTCCTTGAAAGAGAAGAGCATCTTGCCAGAAATGTCCATGTGGCAATATTAGAAATTCAATCTGGAGCGCCATCCTGATCTTAACACTTTATTCCTCATATATGTTGAATGGTACGTTAACACGTAGACACATTTCTCTGAAATGAAACCTCATTTCTGACACTATTTATGGTTGCCACTTTCCTGCAGTACCTTTTAAATGTACTAACATTCTGTGATTGCCTTTCACTGTTTGTGAAAGGCTATTTCATTCGTTAACAGAGTTGGCCATGTTGTTTCTAGGGTAGCCCAGAATGGACAAATGAAACACTGGCTTTAAATAGGGTCATTTGCATTTTCATGTTAGCCACTGTAGTTCTCCTTCACGCTTGGCACATGGGAGAAGTTTCAGTTCTGCAACCTCAGTGCTAGGTGTCACTAAATCCTAGACCTTTAAATGGCCCACTTACACATACCTGTAATGTGAGTTTGTTTAGCTGCACTGTAAACAGACAAATCAGTTATTTAAGTAGCCGCTAAAGGAGTGTTTGCTGTAGTATCAAAATACACTTGCTGTTGCCATGGTAACTATAGTTGCTGCCAATCAACCAAAGCTGAAATCTTAAGCACAGTTCAGACCAAAGATTCATGACATCACAAAACCATTTTAGAACCTTGCAGAGAAAAGTTGCAGCTGTGTGAACTGACCATCTGAGCTCCACTCAAGCCAGCTGATGGTGTCACCTGCAACTCAGCTGGTCAAATCGCCAGCGGCTGGTTTTAGAATGTAAGGCACGTCGCCTGTTTTAATAGCCAATCAGCTTGTAGTGAAGTCCGCTGGTCAAGTCAAAATGACTGCAGATGGTGTGTTCGCTTGCTGTGGCAGGTGCTCCGCCCTTGCTGAGCCCTCTGTTTCCATCCCTATGATATGCCGGCATCGGATGGTGGGTTGTTGCTGCTGCTGCTGCTCGCTGTATGTGCTTATACCCCCATACATACATTGTCACTTAATTGGTGCTGCTTATTTTATATTATTTTGGCATATTTGTAATGAAAACACTCCATCTGATACTCGTTTTGTTTCTGTTTTTCGCCATTTCATCACCACTATAAACGCAGCTGTAGCCAGTATCTCACTATCACTATCCTCATTCATATTTTAAGAAGCTACAAATTATATTCAGCCACAAAAAACAAAACAAAACAAAAAAGCCACATGTGTAATGTTACAGCTGCGGTCCAAAATAGCGCGTGAAACGACGAGTGGGATGTGAGATGACTACTTAAATTCAGAGGGGCAGTGTAGTACCTGCAGCGTGTGACAGTCTCCATCCTGTGGTGTTCAGATGATGAGGCAATGAAGGACTACTCTCACTGATTTGACTGTGTCCACTTACTCATATTACAGGCTGATACTATTTTGTAGCTGGCGCATTTATTTCCAACGGTGAACAGACAGTTTCACCAGAACTACTTACCATTACCAGTTTTTAACAGACACTCTGCAGCCAATCAGAATTGTATAAATGTGTATGAAACTTAAGTACAGTGTAACGATCATACCTTTGATTAAGTCTGAAATTACCTGATATGGAGCGTGTTCTTTGATTGAATTAGTTTCTAAAGTTACCAAAGGTAACATACCATATTTGTGTGACTTTAAAAAAGAGCAACTGCAGGTTACATGAGTGACACAGGAGCTATCTTAATGTGACACAGACCTGGCTCTGTAGTCCTGTTTATTCATTCACCTCTGGCAATTTCGTCTCAGGCATCTACTCTGTGTTCTCCTTTCATAAAATGTCAAACAAACACACTGTCATGAGGGATTTCACCGCAATATCATTTAACAAGCCCCCAGAAGGTGATACTCATGTACAGAAAGTACCCGGGTGAGTCATTATGACACAGTCTGATAGAAAAAAAAAAAAACCCACACACTTTGCGCCCTGGTAGCAAACGATGCCCACCAGAGCAGGTTCAGAGTATGGATTGTGTTGCTCTGTCACAGGGGTCATTTTCATCAGTGAAGGCACTAAGCCATGAGGCCACCTAATGGACTGCACAGATGGAGAGCCATTACAGGGACAAGAGGGATGGACTGGGAGGGGTTTGGGGATAGAGGGATGATGGAGAAGGAGGGATACTGTATAAAATTATATTTATAGATTAACCTACTTAGCCCAAAGCATTACAGTAGGGAGACAGAACGTCATTAGTAGTAGTAAAATATACTTTGAAAATGCTAAAATCCTAAACTAACGATTCATTATACTGTACAAAGGTATTCAGGGGCTTGTAAGCCTTACATTACTGCAACTAAAGTTGATTGCTTGGAGTTTAATTGGGCAATTTGTGTATTTACAACAGCCTCTAAAGACTGGTGGTTGTTGTACGATTACTCAAAACCTCAGACGGCAAACAGCATGTTTGAACTTTCTCGTAGCAGCTGTCTAATTTTGAGCTTCAACGCAGACATCCTTCAGATAATTTAGCCTCTTTACACCTCACCTATTAATCAGAGATTTGAAAAGTTGAACTACAGATTAACGACAGAGATGTTCAGATGAGAGTAAGTGAGCAGCAAGTAGGGGAGAGAAACAAACTCGGAGTTAATGAGAAGAGGGATTGTGAGTTGAGAAACAAGGCGAGTAAATGTTGGAGTGCTGCAGTGTCATAACTTTTCATTAGACCGGGAAGGGAGAGTCAACAGCAGATTTATTGTGCTCATAGTATGAGAAGAGGAAACAGAGAGAGGATTTTTATTTATTTATGCAACTATGTATTCATTGAATGGGCAAACTAATATGTTTACTATGTCAAGAAAAAGAAAGATATTAAGAGAAATGAATGCTCAGGCTGTAAGTTTCCTTTCCCACCCAGCCCAGTGACACACCTTCTCTGTCAGCCTATCATTTCACTGCTCCTCATTTTAGATATGGATCTTTCTCTGCTGTAGTTCTTTCTTGCTGCAGTCATGCGTGCCCCCCACCTCCGCATCACCACAAGTCTTTACGAATTCTACTGCCAAGAGCCAGTTCAGTTGGCTTAGCACAAAAACTGGAAAGAGGTTGAACAGAATCTGTCCAAAGGTAACAAATTGTGTCTACCTTTGCCTCTATAAAGCTGATACTTCTTTTCTATGTGATTCTTTTTTTCTGTTTTTTGTATGTAATGTGATGTTTGAATGTATATAATGTACGGGCTTGTTTGTTATATGGTATGATTTATGTGCCGGACCCCAGGAAGACTAGCTGATGCTAGGGTATTAACTAATGGGGATCCTACTAAACTAAACTAAACTAAACCAGGGCTAAGATAAGATAAGATGACAAAAGATGAGATAAGATAAGATAAGACTAAACTCAACTAAACTAAACTAGAAGAGACGAGACGAGACTAGACTAAATGAGACGAGATGAGACAAGACTAGACTAGACTAGACTAAAGTAAACTAAACTAAACTAGAGTTAAGTCAACTAAACTAGACTAGACTAGACTAAACTAAACTAAACTAAACGAGACGAGACGAGACGAGATGAGACAAGACTAGACTAGACTAAACTAAAGGAGATGAGACAAGACTAGACTAGACTAAATTAAACTAAACTAAACTAGACTTAAGTAAACTAAACTAGACTAGACCAGACTTAGATAAACTACACTAAACTAAACTAGACTAAAGTTAACTAAACTAAACTAGACTAAACTAGACTTAAGTAAACTAAACTAGACTAGACTTAAGTAAACTAAACTAGACTAAAGTTAACTAAACTAAACTAAACTAGACTAAACTAGACTTAAGTAAACTAAACTAGACTAGACTTAGCTAAACTACACTAAACTAAACTAGACTAAAGATAACTAAACTAAACTAAACTAGACTAGACTAAACTAGACTTAAGTAAACTAAACTAGACTAGACTAGACTAGACTTAGCTAAACTACACTAAACTAAACTAGACTTAAGTAGATTAAACTAAACTAAACTAGACTAAAGTAAACTAAACTAAACTAAACTAGACTAAACTAGACTTAAGTAAACTAGACTAGACTAGACTTAGCTAAACTACACTAAACTAAACTAGACTTAAATAGATTAAAGTTAACTAAACTAAACTAGACTAGACTAAACTAGACTTAGGTAAACTAAACTAGACTAGACTAGACTTAGCTAAACTACATTAAACTAAACTAGACTTAAGTAAATTAAACTAAACTAAACTAGACTAAAGTAAACTAAACTAAACGAGACAAGATGAGACAAAACTAGACTAGACTAAACTAAACTAGACTTCAGTAAACTAAAGTAGACTAGACCAGACTTAGCTAAACTACACTAAACTAAACTAGACTAAAGTTAACTAAACTAAACTAAACTAGCCTAAAGTAAATTAAACTAAACTAAACTAGCCTAAAGTAAATTAAACTAAACTAAACTAAACTAAAGTAAACTAGCCTAAAGTAAAGTAAAATAAACTAAACTAGACTAAAGTAAACTAGACTAGACTAGACTAATAAACTAAAGTAATCAATAAGCTAATAAGCCTGTTTCCTAAAAGGTCAAACTATTCTTTTTAACAGTCGATGCTTCTTGATGTG